GTACCTTTACATATGACATTCATTATTAAGATATTTTTTTTATACTCACAAAATTGAAGACCTCTAACACGTCAATACAAAACAAATAATGTTAAAAAAGAAATTAATGACTAGGGCTAAAATGATTAAAAAATTACAAATATAAAGACTAAAAAATTTATCTTAAACTATAAAGACTAAAAATGATTGAAAAAATAAATATAGAGACTAAAAAAGTCTATTTTAAATTATAAAGATTAAAAAAATAAAGTAAGTGAAACTTTAAAGATTAAAAATTATTTTAATTAATAAATAAATAAAAATTTCATAACCTAAGTTTATTTAGAGTGTGTGTATACACGTGTGCGCGCATATTTATTTAAATAATAAATTTATTTAAACTTGTCTTATTCAATAATTCATGTTCTATATTAAATTCTAATAATTTAATCGTTGAATTAAAATTTTTTAATACATTAATCAATTTTTAAAATTTAAAAGTTTGAAATAATAAAATTAAATATTAAATAGTTTTTAATTTTTTTAAAATTTATAAAATTAATTTATATGTTAAAATTTTTTATTCAACGATTGTATTATTAAAATTTAATACATAATATGAATTGTCGAAAAAAATATATTTAGATAAACTTCGTTTTAAAAAAAGTAAATCCTTTTATATATATATATATAATAAAAGGAATGTTGAGGGTAGAATGGTAAATGGATGAGAAGATATATAATATAATGGCAGGAGGGTGATGATCCTATCAATAGTGTACGGCGTGAATGATATGCGATTTGTGAAGGTATCAATTATAGTTCAGACTTCATACCTCACCAAAATAAAATAATAAATTATAGTTCAAATTCAGATGTCACCATACCACGCGCTCAACCCACTAACTCGCCTGAGACTATCAACATCTGTCACCGGGTATGCTAACATGTATTTTTAATTTAATTTAATTTGTCATAATTATTTTAAGATAAATACAATTTTTAATTGGATTTGTTATTATTTTTTAATTAGACTCGATGTTTTACTTCACGAATATATATATTTATATTAATATAAATTTTATTAATATATATTTACATATATTAATAAAATAAAATTTTAATTTTAATTAAAAATAATAATAGAAATTGCACTTAAATTTTTATTCTAATAATAAAAAGATTTCTTAAATATTTAACTTAATTATATTAATTTAAGTTATTCTCAAATATAAACTAAAAACCTAATGTCTTGATATACTATTAGTTAAGAAGATGAGTATTTAAGGAACCATAATTATGAAATTGTTTTTGTTTGTGGTTGAGAGAGGAAGAGAAATAGGGCATGAGAATCCAAAATTGAGCAGAGCAGTGGCAGATGAGATGAAGACTGAAGAGAGAGAAGAGAAAAGCCTGTCACAGACGTTGACCCTCTGTACGGAATGTCTACTACATCAACCATTTTTAATTTTACATCATCATCTTATTCTTCTTCAAACAAAATTGTTAAATATTAGTATAACACAAGAATTATGATATGGGCCATTATAAAGTAAGTCCAATTCAGCTGATGGACCATAAAGTATGTCTCTTGACCCAATTTTGGTTTGGCTGATGATATATACACTTCCTATCTTTTATAAGTACACCTCCAATCTTTTTTTTTTATTTTAAATAAAATTCTTAAAATATTCTTTTAACTAAATTTTTATTTTAAGTTCTATTTTTAAATTTGTTTTTTATTCACCTCTTTTTTCATGATTTTTCTTTTTCTTTCTTCTTCTTTTTCTCATTCTCCTTTTTCATCACTCTAGTCATTTTTTGATGATTTTATTCTTTTTTGTTTCTCATTCTTGATTTTTCTTTTTTTACAATCAACATAATCATATTTTATCTTTCTATCTTTTAAATTCTATTTTTCACTTTTTACTCTATTATTTCTTAAATCCTAATTTTTCATTCAATCTTCATTATTCTCTACATTCAATACAAGGTACAAATTAATATATTAAATTATATTTTATATTTATAATTTTTCTTAACTTATTTAACATTACTTATGGACAACAGGATCGTAGACGACGGTAGTGGATGAGGAGATAAAGAAACACGTAAGTTAAATTTGTCATACCGGAAAATAAGATTTGAAATTTAATTTTATCATTCTGGAAAGTACTTTCCGGAATAGTAAAATTATTGTTCCAAAAAACATTTTTCGGAAGTGTGTTTCTTATATAATTCTGGAAAGAACTTTCCGGAACAGTAACTTTAGTATTCTAGAAAGTACTTTCCAGAATTATGTAACAAAATTTTTCCAGAAAATACTTTCTGGAATAAGAATTTATTATTATGGAAAGTATTTTCTGAAATAAAAACTTTATTATTCCGGAAAATAATTTTTAGAACAAAAACTTTACTATTTCAGAAAGAGGGGTACGGGAAAAATAAAGAAGAAGGGGGTGCCGGAAAAAGAAAGAAGAAGGGGGGTGCAGGAAAAAGAAAGAAAAAGAGGGGTGTAGGGAGGAGAATGAACAAGGGTGCGGGGTACGGGAAAAAGAAAGAAGAAGAGGGGTGCAGGGAAGAGAAAGAAGAGGGGTGCGGGTGCGGGAAAAACAAGGAAGAAGAAGGGTGTTAGGAAGAGAAAGAAGAGGAGTGCAGGATGCAGAAAAAATAAAAAAGAAGAGGGGTGTGAGGAAAAGAAAAAAAAGGGGTGCAGGATGCAGAAAAAATAAAAAAGAAGAGGGGTGTGAGGAAAAGAAAAAAAAGGGGTGCAGAATGCAAATTTAGAAATTTTATATATTTAAAAAAAAAAGAAAGATAATTTAAAAATTTTATATTTTATAAAAAAAAAAGGATGTGTTTATATGAAAACGGAGTTGTATTTATCATTACCCTTTTGGTTTTGTTTTGGTTATGTGTAAAGGGTAAAGGGCTTTCCCCCAAAATAAGAAAGAATAAAGAGAGCAATAAAATGCTTCAGACCACATGAGTGGAGATCATTATTTGTCAACTTCTTTTTTTAACAGAACATTATTAAAAATAATCTTATTCGAGTTCGGATTGTATCCTATCACTCTGACAACAAAGTTTCTTTTTCTCAATTATTTAATATAATTATATATTTAAAATAGACAAAACTCAAACTCAATATTATTGATTAAATAAGAACAATTTTATATTAGTTGATCTAAGTATACCGGTGATAATTGTCATGTGTGTTATGATGGAAGTGTTGCTGTTTATATCCACCGGACTCCATTAGTATAAGAATTAATTTAGAGAATCAATGTTGAAAGAATTGATGTTAAAACACATTAACTTGGGTACTAAAGTATAATTAATTTTTAAAGTATGAACGGATATATTATTAAGAAACTTATCAATTTTATTCCGGGAATTAAGTTTATTGATTTTGAACTGTCTAAACATTAAAAAAAGCCCATTCATTTGGCTGTTTTCCTTCTGATGTTGTACAAGGATTTCTTCTACTTTGTAATATTTTATTATGGTTTCTCTCGTGTAGAATAAATGCCTTCTTATATAATACCCAAAAGGAAAAGAAAAAAAAAACTGTTTTGGGAAGAACGATTCATTGTTCTAGTTAAGACACCTTAAAAAAATCTAAATCTAAAGCATGGGCAGTTTCATTCCCATATCGGATTTAGGTAGACATTGTTCATGGTTAAATATTTATCAAGATTCATCTTAAAAAGAAAATGTATATTTTAGTGAATATTATAATTCTTACTATTGAGATGTGTATTTATTAATTTCTTTTATTGCAAGTATTTTCAAAACATAATTTATGTATATATCGTGAATATATATTTTGATTATGGACGTGGGTATTTTTGGGTACACAGAAACTTGAGAATTGTCCTTATAACCACTTAGACACCCTCAGTAACCTAAAAGGCTAAAACCTTGGGTGTGTTTTGTTGCCAAGAAATGATAGAAATAAGAGAGAAGAAATGAGTGGAAGATAAAAATGTTAGTTTCTTATCAGCAAGGTTATTGCCTCTTTCTTGCAACCAAATTACTTTGGTTCCCACGTATCTTTACCCCTAAGATACCAGTTTGGACCACCTCATCTTAGATATAATAAGTAGAAGAAAAAAGTCTTGTCACCCTCCAAAACTTCAATTTCTTGATTGGTGACAAGTCCTTCCATCAAGTGTTGGAATTATCCCAACACTTTAATTTTTTCTATCTTTCCCACCACAGCATACTTTTCTGCAACAACTTTGTAAGATCACAATCCCTTTGCTTATATTGCAATCTTTCATGCTGAAACATCCGTATCAACAGCTCCTCTCAATTTGAAGATCTTTCTCCTAAGGGGACCACAGAAATGTGAACATCAACAATACATGGTTGCTGAATGTCATATCATCTAAGCTATTCAAAAGTCAATGGTCCAAGTTCAATTGAACAAACCCCCACCTCAACTACCACCACACAGCTACTAGTTTTGCACGAACAAGACAATAATTACACATTGCCCATGAGCATAAACATCATTCTTATTCTTTGGTTCTAAATTAATTACTAGGTTGGAAGGTTGATACAGCAGGCTCGGTAAGTTTAGAAAAAGGGTTATTTTTTTCCTACACCCATCATTTTTTTGTCCTACATCCGTCATTTGTATAAATTAGTTAAATTATCAGTGTTCTGAAAAGACATTGTTACGGAATGAGTGTTCTGAAACCGTTTAACTTTTCCAAAATGGGTGTTCCGGAATGGTATTCTAGATCAACATTGTTCAGGAATGAGTATTCCAGATTGAGTGTTCCAGAAGGTGGTGGAGATAAGGGTAATTTAAGAAATTTATACAACTAACAGGTGCAGGGGAAAAAAGGACGGGTGTAGGAAGGAAATCCCTAAGAGAAAATGCAAGGTCCACACAATATTTAAAGAATCAGGCCCATATTTGGTAAAACTTATCTTTGAAAAAGATAACCTTTTTTTAATTTCCAAATCTATCTTAGAGCTAATAAAGATAAATTATTATTTCTTCAAAATAAGTTAAACCAAACATGCACTAAATGTGTAACAATTGCTCCATTTGTAGGATAGAATGTGGCAGTCATAGTAATGTATGAACTTGGGAAAATAATTCAAAAAAGTACTAATTTATACACAATTACAGTAACAGACTAGAAAAACTGGCTAACCTAAATGCCTCATGAAAGACTCTTCCAGAAAACAGTCCCATTTTCTGCCAGTTGATACTGCCACAAGGTTTCTCACTATATAGTTAGCACAAGGCGTCTTACTTTGGCTTGTCATTTAAGGTTACAAGTGATTTGAGCACTCCAGGACTTATCTTGTCTGAAAGAACACCTGCCTCTGATATTAGGTAAGATTTTTCCTTCACAACGCTCTGTAGTCTCTTTGCCTCAAAGTCAAGCTGTGTTTGATCTGTAAATAATTACATGGTCAGTAAAAAGAAGATAGCAACCACTTGAAATTAGAAATCAGTTTTTCAATAAAAAAAGACTTCACTCATAGCATAGCAGTCATAGCTATACTTCAAACTTCGGACTATCACAATAAAAGTTGCAGCAATGAAGATACTCGGTCTAATCAGAACTTCTAAACTATAAAATTGGTGCTTAATAATGATCATGCTTAAACATTTACTTATTCTGTGTTTCAGGATGAAAAATAAATTAATATAAAAATCATATGAAAGTTCCTAAATCAAAAATTCAGATTTAATTCTAGACAAAAGAATCCCTCTTTGAAGTGGCATTAAAAAGCCTCAACAGTGCAGATGACAAACCCACATTTAGGTAAAATTACATTCATTTCAGTGTTGCAGGGTTTGCAATCCCATGAAGAAATTGCCTACCACAGTCAGGTTCAATCAATAAAGAGTATGACAGGAAATTTAAATATCTTAAAAGGATTTACAAAAAATAAAAAGAGAGAGGCACAGTAAAAACTCCAGTTAGACATAATTGCATTGTATCTACACATTTCTCACATTAAATAGAAAAGTTGTTGATAATCCAGACTCCAAACTAATGCATATAACCTAACTTCTCATTTCATCCACTATAATAAGAACACATAAGGAGGGGGAAAAGATTTATCTCACAAGTATTCCTGAATTGCAGAAGCAAAGATGGTAAAATTGCATTGATAAGGGGTTATTACCAAACATTACTACTGCAGAATGCCCCCACAAAGACAGAAGTAATAAGCAATATCAAAGCAAGCAATATATCCCAGCACATAAAATGGAACTAAAGAAGGACCTGTTTCCAATATAGTATGAGCAGCATGAAATGGAATTCTGGCAAACAGATCAGTTCCTGGAAACATCATCCACGTCTGCTCAGAAGAGTCATGGTTGCCACAGGTGTTGCAAACCTCTTGCACCAATGGTCTTGAGCTGGTCCCCACAACTCCCTTCATTATTGATTCAAAAGGTGATGGAACACTAGTTTTTGTTGTTCGAGCCCTTTTCCTTAATGCAGTAAGTGCTTCTCTGTTCCCATTTCTCAATTTATCATTCTCAACCAGCTGTATTTTTTCAAAAAAGGACAATTGTATAGCCACTGAATTTCATTGAAAAGCTATTAAAGAGATCCAGTAGAAGAAAAAAAAAACTTTATTAAAATAATAAACAATAGATTTCTTGATTGATACTATGGTATTGAATTGATTGTTGTTGAGGACATAACATACTAGTAAGGAAATTACTTTGGATTAAGTAATTAGTTAATTTGTGAGAAATTGTGCATCCAAAATGAGTGTCGTCATTTGGCACATTGGTTGAATCATTGTAACTTTTGGCATGATGTTGATTAAGTTCTGGCTCGATATACAGTTATGAATCCTAGATAGCACACAGAGCAGCAGATCCCAAAAAGGGTATGTTGAATTAGTGGATAGTAGGATCAAACAATGTTATGTGACCTTTAAACTCTCCTTGATTGCTTTGCCTATAGTTTTATCAGTCTCCCTCTGCTTAGCTGGGTTACCCTCCATTTAGTCTGCTCTACTTCCAGGAGGGTTCTACAGATCTTTTCCACACATACATACATACACAAACCACTTATATGTCTCTTCACAAGGATTTTAAAATTCTAAAAAATTTTAAAATTAAAAAGTATCATTTTCTTTTAAAATGTACAAACGACCGGGTTATCAATTTGGGTTTCCTTTTTAAACAAGCTAAAATTTTATTAAGCTTTCAACTTGGAGGGATAAAGACAAAGTCAAAGTTTAGTTGCAACAAAAGTACTAGCAGGTCATGTAATTTAGTACATATGATTCAAGGTGAAGGGCATGAGAGTCTTGAGCTCGTGAGCCATTCTAAGTAATTTGCTTAGTCCCTCCCCTCCACATCCCCAGCTCTCTCACCCTAAAAATCTTGTCTTGCAATAATCTGGTAACAGCCAACACATTAGTTTTGTGACACATTAAAATGACTTGTGAATGGATTTAACATAGTCATGAGGCTTAGTGGTTACGTTCATATTTTAAAATGTTGAAAAAATGTTGGTATTTTTTATAGTAGAACTTGATGTTTTCATAGGGTTTAGGTTTAGTTCATTTAGAATCAAGTGTATAAACTTAAATTGTATGATTAATAGGAAAAGTGCAAATGAACATGGGTTTGGTCCTGACTTATGTGCAACTTAGTCCCTGAACTTTAAAAAGATGTATTTCAATTTCAACCCTCAAGGTTTTCAATGTGGGTAGAACAACCCCTCTGTTAATTTTCACATAAAATTTGACAGATTTAGTCACATGAATAGCATGTGACTAATTTGTTTCCAAAATTACCCATAGAAAGAAAAAAAAAAAATTGGCACCCTGAAGTTTCAATCATGTGTGACTTAGCACTAGCAGAAATACACCTTTTTAAAGTTACATATGATTCAGATTAAGTTTCACATATCTTGTCCTCAATGTAGCAATACAAGCTAGATTTAACTCTTTTTCAATGGATTTTTAATTACTTAGTTTCTTTCTAAAAAAATTTAAAAGCATTAATCACCTTTAATTTGAAAATTTTGAATTACCTGGTGTCGGGCTAAAAGAAGATGCTCAGCTTCCACTTCCAGTTCTGTTAACTTTTTCTGGAACTGTTTCATGGACTCATCCATGTTTGAAGAAAAAAAAAAGCACTCCTGGAAAGTTGCAACGAAAATATTATTTAGAGAAATTTGTGCAAAATATGGCCACAAACAACAAGCATTCAGTTGAATCCAACTGGAAAAATAAAGATATTCGTATAGATTTGAACTAAGAAATGCAACTGCAAAGCAAATATACAGATGAAGGAATATCCATATATGTTTCTCCATCCAAACAGCCGCTTATCTCAGCAGTAATGTACTTGCTTACACATTGCACAGAAATCCCTATGACGGTCAACATAAACATCAACATCTCCATAGAATGTGAGTTCAAAATTCAAATGAAAACATCACCTTCTGGAAGATAGCTCCCTTCAACAGAGCGATGCCTTCCTATTCACCCCTCGGTTGCAGCTGCAGCAATGTCAATGCACAAGGGATTCAGCTGGGGTAATAGAGCTCAACTAAAAGAGTTTGGTTCTCTGAATCAAGAACCCAGTTCACAAGTTTTCTTGGCAAACTTCTGAAAATCACAATTCACAACTATATCTAGAAGCATAAAAAAAAGATTTTTTTTTTCTTTTTTTAAAACAATGAACAAGTACATGGGTAGAATAATTATCCCAAATATAACTAACCATGAAATATTCCTAAAAACCTTCAAACTGATCGAGCCAGTAGAATCACTATTGACACGGCAAAGCTGCTAATAACATATTACATTAATACTAACATTCTATGTCATATTAGAATATAACTTAACTCTATGAAACTCAATGGGTTCTAAAATTAAAATTATTCCCACAAATTTAATCATAACAAGAATCATTTGTTCATAATCATTTAAAGGATTATGGAACCAAAAACTTATGTAAGAATACATATGTGTGCGTACCAGGAATTGACGGGCACGGGGAGAATCGCCTGCGGGAGCGTGCGTCGGATGAAACGGTGAGGACGAGGCTAAAACGCACCAGCGTCTCACACGGACCAAAGTGTCAAGTGTTGATTGTGAAACACTTCTTGAGGGAGTTAGGTCTTGTACTCCTCCTAATCTCATTTTCTTCGTTTTTTTTTTTTTTTTTTATGTGTTTATTTACCTGAAAATAAAATTAAAGTTTAAAAAACATCTATTAATAAATAATATAATGGGAAGAAATCCTACACAAATTATTTTCTTCCAACACTCTCAATTTCCTTCCTTTCAAAATTTCTTCCAACAAAACAATACAAAAAGTACTATATTATATTATTTTTATTAATATATCAAAATAAAAAAATAAATATCAAAACTTTAATTATAGTTTTAATATTAGCATAAAATTGTTGTAAGAAAATTAACATAAAATATTATTATAATACTTAATATATTTTATAAATTTAGTGTATTTACTAGTTCCAATTATATTATATATTAATTAAATACATAAAATTAATCTATACTAAATATAAAATGTGTATTATATATATATAAAGGGGACAACTTCTACAACATTTTTCCTCTAAAATTTTTCACTAATAAATTTTCATATACAATTTTTTTAATTAAAATTAAAATTATATTAATTATATCATATAATAACAATAATTTAAAAAAAAGTAATAAAAATATAAAACATTAATTACATTAATTTTAAATTATTGTAGTTTTGATGTAAAAATAATTATAAAATTCACACAAAAATCTACTTATTTAAAATTGACGTAATATTAAAAAAATAATAGCACATTAATAAAATTAGAATTAAAAACTTTTCAAAAGAAATTTATAAATTTAATTACATTTATGTAAAAAAAGTTATGGTATATATTTTTTTTTTACTTACATTATATGAGTATATTTTGATATTTCTTTTATATATATATATATATATATATTATATACATTTAAGCATTTTTTTATATTAATGTAAAAGATAATTATATTATTATTTAAACAAAATAAAAAATATATTTAATAATAAATTATTGTCAAAATAAATATAAAATTGTAAAAAAAAATTTCATGTAAGACACAGATGAACTAATTAGTATTTTATAAAATAAGTTATGCTTAATTTTGGGCTTTATAATGTTTTATTTTACTTTTTATGCTTTAAAAAATTGATATTATTATTATTGTCAGGTCATATTCGTTAATTATTTTTGTATTTAATAAGTTTGGCAGTTATGACATGTGAGATTCAAAAATTTATTCAAGGAGGGACTGGAAATAATCAGCGATGATGAATGATTCTCTTGCACTTGCTTTTCGTGTGGACATTGTTATGGTATATGATGGCCTTGCTATAGAGGCATAATGTTACATGAGACTACATGTCTTGATATATGAACCAACAAAAAATTGTTCAAAATTCGATTTGTTAATTAATTATTAAATTTGATTTATGAACTAATAAATTAAATTTATGTTTGATAAATAAATGAGTTGAATTGTGTATAATTTAATTTATTAGTTCATAAATTAATTTAATATGTAAATATATAATTTATATAATTAACTTTTTTATTTTGTTTCAACTTGTTAAAATTTGAAATAATTTATAATAAAAGAAATGAATTCTTTAGAATTTCATTGTTATGGATTTTTTATTATTTTATGTAAGATATAGTAGTTTATATTTATACAAATCTTGGTTGTAATTATACTTCTTTGAATTCATTTTTGTATCTTTACAAAGCTAATAAAATAAGTTATGTTTGTCTTTTAAAAAATTTAAAAATCAATTTATCTAAAATATATTATTAAATTAAAATTTTTAAATGTATAAAATTAAAAAAAAAAAAAGAATTATGATTCATGAAATTTGAGTTAACAAATTGAATTCAACTGTTAACGAGCTTGAATTAAATCAAATTTAAACTAAAAAATGTTTATGTTAAATTCAAGTCAAATTACAAGTTATGTTAAATATTATTGAGTTGAGTTGAATTAAATTCAAGTCAGCTCAATATATTTTCACTCCTACACAAAATTTGTTAAAAAATAATGTTAAATTCTTCAATTTAAAATTATGTTCTATGTATAAAAGAGTAATGAAGTAGATTGTGTCCCTAGATAAATTATTAACTTGACCACATCAAAAAGACCATAAACCTCATTAAAATAAATTGAAAAAAGATTATAAAGTTATAAGTTATTTTCATAAATTTAAATAAGTTTCATATTCGATGGAAAATACTATTTTAAAAATGAATAAAAAAATAACTAATAAAAAAACTTCTAAATTATCCTTAACTTGAACATAAGTATTTTAAAAATAATTTCATGTTTTTTTTTTGGATTTAATAAAAGAACAACAATATATTTACCACATAATATAAAATAAATATATATTTAATTTGGTTTTGATACATCATTAGTATTAAGTGATTAGAAATCATTTTGTTCAGCAAATGTCAAACCTTTTTATGCAAGTAAAGAAACACCTATGATGCACTCTATTGATTTTTTTTTTTGTATGTAATCAAGTTCAAATTTATAAGTATGCTTATCCATATAAATTTATGTGACATGATACATATGATTCATTAGATTACTCACTTAAACTGTTCTGTCACAAATTTCAGTTTACCATTTCAAACATACAGAATATCACATGGCAAAAAGAGACATTTTTGTTATTATTATTATTTTTACAGCACATGACAAAAGGAGACTTTTTCCTTCCTTTTTTGATGACACATTCCTCTAACTGTTTCAGTATTAATTTAGTCACGGGTTTATTTCCATCCTAAATTACCGTTATTCTTAACTCCCCCTTGTTTTTTTTCTCTTCACCACCTTTATTTATATCTTGTTCTTTCACTTTTCTCTTCTATATACATAACTTTCTTTTCTTTCTGCCACATATAAACCTCCATTATCTCTATATTCTTCCTAGAAATCACAGTGATAATGGTGGCTACAGACCCAGTTAGAGTTCTGGTCACTGGTGCTGCTGGTAATCTTATTTTCAATACACCATACTAATTTTAAAGTTTATTCTCATGCACCGTTGTCGTAGTAAATTGTAAACATTTTTATCAGACCAATCAATTAAAAATTATTTTGAGAATATAAAATGATATTGTCTGTGCTTTTGAATTAATTTCATAATTTTATTACTTGAATTCATTGTAGATTTGCCATCTGAGAAAAATATGAGGTATAAATATTCTAATTTTGATAAACGTTCTTTTCTTTATTGCTAAGGTGATGATGATTCTCTTGCACTTGCTTTTCTTGTGCACTTTGTTATGGTATATAATTGCCTTGCTGTAGAGGCATGTTACATGAGCATAGATTCTTCAATTTTAAAATTATGTTACATGTATAAAAGGATAATGTAGATCATGTCCCTTGGATATTAACTGAAACTGATCATGGAATTGGAAATGTTAGCTTGGCAGATGATTAAGGACTATACAGTTCTTAAAAAAGTTAGTCTTGTTTTGTTATGTTTTGTTTTGTTTTGGAAGATCGTTAGATACATGTTTGGTCTCCTCAAAGAAGAGAAGGAACCAATCACGGTATTGGTCACTGGTGCTGCAGGCATGGCTAATATATTCTTCCTCCCATTTTTCAAATTTCCTCTAATCTTTCTTGTATTTGCATATCTTAACAAGGTTTTAAATTTTGGTCAGGGTCACTATTTTTCCAGGTTCTTTGATACAGTGACAAATTGTGACCCGAAACACCCTAAAACCTTAATGTTGTGGCCAAAAGCATGATTGTAGACCATTTATTTAAACGTTGAACTCTATGTATCAAATAATCATAAATGTGTGTACGTGTGTATGAATTACAAGACAGGGTTTTAAGAAACGGTCTAATTGACAGATTAAATTAAGATTATTGGGGTTGTACACAACCACAATTGTTGTCCAATTGTCTACAACTTCTCACAACAGCAATTTAAAATCTTAGATTGAGTTCTTAGTTGACATTGGCTAGCCTTGTGAAATGATCTTCAAGCTATATTACACCTCTAACATGTTTGTGGTCCATATAAATAAAATTAATAAAATGTGCAGTGTCAAAAACTTAAAGATATTTTGTGAATCTCTATGTCAATTCCAACTTCACATCATGCATTGTTTTCTTTTTGGTCTTATTCTACTATTGAGATGTGTGAGACTTTATGGTCACAAGAAGAATAATTGGAAATTTAGGATGGTAAAGTTTGCTTGCAGCATTACTTTTTTAACTTCATTGGAAGCACCTCTTGATTTTGATTTGGTTCAAACAACAGGGCAAATTGGTTATGCACTTGTTCCAATGATTGCAAGAGGGGCAATGCTGGGCCCAAATCAGCCTGTGATTTTGCACATGCTTGACATTGAACCAGCAGCAGAGGCCTTAAAAGGGGTGAAGATGGAACTCATTGATGCTGCTTTTCCACTTCTTAAAGGCATGTTTTCAAAATTGATAATGTTTACCTAAGTATAATTGTTACATCATGAATTTTTTTCTCTTCTTTTTGGGATATCATAATGCTAATTGTTTGTGCATATAAATGCAACAGGTGTTGTTGCTACTACTGATGTTGCTGAAGCTTGCAAGGATGTGAACATTGCTGTGATGGTGGGTGGATTCCCAAGGAAGGAAGGAATGGAAAGAAAAGATGTGATGAGTAAAAATGTGTCAATTTACAAGGCTCAAGCCTCAGCACTTGAGAAACATGCTGCAGCAGATTGTAAGGTTAGAAAACTACTTTGTCTGACTCTTTTAAGTTATTGAAACATGCAAGTTATCGTTTGATGAGAGCTTATTCAGTAAGTGCTGAATGAAACTGTATTTGATTCTGCATGTCTTTCTACTATAGAGCCTACTTTTATTGGCCTCAATAGCCTTCAAAATGGTAACAATAATTACAAGAATAAAACAATTATAGAATATAGGTATTGTCAAGAATGTTATCTAATTAGAATTGAAGTTTCATCTTAATAATATGTATTTATATTTAATGCAGATATCGATAATATACACTTATGTTGTTATGCATATTATTGAGGTGATGAAACTTCTAGATAAAGCAATAACAAATTTGGATAAAACTTTGACTCTAATTAGAAAACAATACCTATAATTCTATATCTAAGTTTTGTCTTAATTACAATTATAGCAACACATAACACAAATTCCACAATTACAATCTAATTATTTTCTTGTTTTCTCCTCCTTCATAGTTTCTTATCTAATGTCTTGTTCACTACAGAGATTAGGAGGGGGATTTACATTAAAAAATGAATCTCAAATGTTAATATTGGATATTGCAATTTAAGTATTGCTTTATCTAGGATTTGATGTCACAGTAGGGTGATGTCTTTTGTTTGTGTTCTCAGTATTTTTAAATAAATGATGAGATGGACATCCTCTTCTGATGTAATTGTTATTGTTACTGGTTCTTTTCTTATAGCAATATCAATTAGTTTGACACTTGAACACTTCTGGTTTCTTGGTAGTACTTGTGACATTATAGAATGAATGAGATAGATTCCTCTATAACCTAATTGCTCTTGTTAATGTAGGTACTAGTGGTTGCCAATCCAGCAAACACCAATGCTCTCATTTTGAAAGAATTTGCTCCTTCAATCCCTGAGAAAAATATCACCTGCCTTACAAGACTTGATCACAATAGAGCATTAGGCCAAATCTCTGAGAAGCTAAATGTTAATGTCAGTGATGTGAAAAATGTCATCATTTGGGGGAATCACTCCTCAACCCAATATCCAGATGTCAACCATGCAACTGCCACCACCAGCAGTGGAGAGAAGCCAGTCAGAGAATTAGTTAATGATGATAACTGGTACCTCTCTCTCAAACTATCTCAATCTCATATCTTTAGGCTTTGAACTTTATTGTGTTTACTTGTGCTATTTTGTCTTGCCAATGGTATAGAAGAACAAATAAAGGATTAAAGATGTTTTTACTTCTCGAATGTTTATATCAATTTTCACTTTTAATCTTTCAAATTTTTTTTATTAGTTTTAATCTTTCAATTTTAGTCAAATTTTACTCTTAAGAACTTTTTCTTACTATAACACTTTTGGTCCCTAGTGTCAAGATTTTTGTTTTCACGGGCAAACATTTTAGAAAATAAAATCAAATAAAAATTTTCCAAATACTAATAATAAAAATTAAAAAGAATTTTAAATATAAAAGACATATTTAACCCATAAATAAATTAGTTAAATATAGTCATTGCACTATGTCATTAGTATGTTTGAACCCACAAGGTGATTCTTGGCTCGATTCCTATGAAAAACATCTATTAGACAGAGAGTTTACTCATGTTGCTCTAACGGTGAATTTCCCTTTCTATAGTTTTTTTATATACTAAAAACAAATTTCTTTTTATGTTAATTTGTAATAAATTGCTAAACTTCCTAATTTTTTAGGTATGGAATGAGAGAAAATTTTTTGTACGTATATAATACTTATTTCATTAGCATAAAGAACAATGTGCATGTGTATAAAGATATATTAAGTAATATCCAAATATTTTAACACTCAATAGTTTTTTATTTACTTTTATCAACAAATGTTAATAGTTAATTGTTATATTAGTGGAGAGATTCAACCACACTCCCTTCTTTTCATTCCATTCCATTCTTACGTCCCTCCCCCTAATCCACCAATTTTCATAGAGAGTCAATTTTAAACAGTCAACTATTCAAAATCCATGTTTGTTAAAGACTTTTAAAGTATCACACACTTCCTATACGTGACAATTTCTTACACGATTAGTTTACAAATTACTTACTCATTGTAAGCATAAGCAAGCAATTTGCTTTCATTAAGAAACTGATTTTCTTTATGATTTGTGACAGGCTAAACACTGAGTTCATCACCACTGTTCAGCAGCGTGGGGCTGCCATCATTAAAGCCAGGAAGCTCTCTAGTGCATTATCTGCAGCAAGTTCTGCATGTGATCACATACATGATTGGGTTGTAGGTACTCCTAAGGTTGGTTCTTTTTTTTAAACCTACATAGAATTTTACCCTTTGCAAATTTTTCCTTACTTATAATACTTTGTTACTGCAACTTTATATTTGTTTACCTATTGTTGTATTTGCATCAACTTCAGGGAACATGGGTATCAATGGGAGTGTATTCTGATGGATCTTATGGTGTCCCAAGTGGCCTCATTTACTCTTTC